GCTGAAATGTAAGTATTCTGACTACTTGCTTACTTTTACTTGCTTTATTAGATTTTTTTATTATAAGCATATATAAACAGGTTCAGATAAATAAATAGATCTTTGTCTATGACAGACAGTAACAGGAAATGAGTTTGTTTTCACTAAGACTCATTGCTGCAATCCCACTTGTATTTTAGCCCCCCCCCCAAAAAAAAAATCTGTCCTGAAAAGCACAAGTACTATGTCAACGACCAAACGTGGTGGGATGAATAAATCAGAGCAGAGACTTCTTAATTCCCAAAGCACTATTCCCTATACCTTCCCCCCTCCCTTTTATCCCTCCGAGGTTAAGTAACAGAAAATGGCTGAAAGTGAGAAAACAGGAAGAAAGAAAATGGTGTGTCGAGGTACTTGATTGGTCAGATTTTGCTGCAGAGTCCAAGTTCCTGACACAGAGAAAGGAAAATTAATAAGATGAAGAGTATAAGCAGAACTAAGCGTATAAGCATAACTAAGAGTCTTGCAGTTCTTAGGGCTTTCAAGAGAAATATTTCCTCTAAGCAGTTCTCGAGGACTCTTTGTTTCCGAGTTAAAATGAAGGCTGTGTTCAACTCAATCCAACCGCTTCTTAAAGGCACAGATACTCATTTGTAGCAGAGAATAGGGCATTATTTCCAGTAATTCAATGAAACAGGAAGCTCCCTAAATTATATAAAACGATCTGCAGTATTAAAACAGACAAACCAACCAAAACAGCAAACAAAACAAAAATAAACAAACGAACAAACCAAACCATACAAAAAAACAAAAAACAAAAAAAAAAAAAAAAAAAAAAAAAAAAAAAACACCAAAAAAACAACACCCCCCCCCCCAAAAAAAAAAACCTAGAAAAAAACACTAAAAAGAAAGGCGAACTAAACTCAGAAATTATTTTGGAAATGTAATTTTTTTCGTCACCAACTGTAGATCTGTGGAGAGCAAGTGGATGGGCAACTGAATTTACAGGCAGAGGAAAATGTTTTCCAGGTAGGGTCACAAAAATCACTTATACAACAGAGAGGGAAGAGTCTCTATTTAAAAATAATTCTGGACTCAACAAGTTTTTAGCCACAGATACGCCTTAGAAAACACTTCCTCAGCGGAAACTTCAGAAAATCTTTTCGGGAGCCTTAACAGTGATGGAGAAAGTTGATCTAAACTGACATCTCTAATAATTCATACAGGATACTCAGATGCCATCTTCTCTAGATGTCCTAGTGAAGATACCAGAAGAAAGCACAACTCATAAAACGTGACTCGCAGAAAATACCCTTGCCTTAGCCCTGCCCCCAGCTTTTTGGAAATACGCTAGGAAATACATCTCAGAATAAATGTGAGTGCTTGAGAAGGGCTGAAAATGCCCGCGGGACGTCGCTCACTAGAGCCATAATCAGACCAGGACTGATAAAACACTGCGAAAACTACTGACCAAGCGCCCTTCCAGGAAAGGCGGGAAAGGACTTCTCGCAGCTTCAGAAACAAAACAAGCCCTCAAAGTCCTCAAAAAATAATAATAAAAAAAGTTCGGAAAGGAAAACTAGCTGTAACATTACCATGAAACATAAAGTTTCATACAGCATAGCAGAAAGCATTTACAATAAATTCAAATTTTATAACCGTGATAATGGAATCCTGCAAAGGTCCACCCCTTTATGAATTCAGGCAGTTTGTACTAAAGCTTCACGGACACGCAGCTGAACTGATTAAAACCCACATATTTTAGCTGGGTATCTTCTTCAGAAAAGGAAAGCCAGTGATTACATTTTATTTCACAGCCTAAACTAAAGTTATCTGGAAAAACGCGTAGAAAGCAATTTCCACCCTGAACGAATATTTGTCCTAGCACAATCACCTCACCAAGAATTAACCACCCTATACTGCTTAATGCTACAGTCTTGATTTAACTCCTTTGAAGCATAATTAATTCTGTTTAGGACTCACCTGAGGTGTCAGATCTCGCTTCACGTAAAGCCACACGAATCACAGGTAAACACACTATTTGTTATGCATAACAAAGAATTTACAGCTCTTTTTAGTGGCCATGTGGTGGCTCTTAAAAGAGCCTTTGGGTTATCGATGGTCTCCAAGATCCGCTTGCTGCAGCTTAAGCGCGCTCTCCGCGGATGCGGCGGGCGAGCTGGATGTCCTTGGGCATGATGGTGACGCGCTTGGCGTGGATAGCGCACAGGTTGGTGTCCTCGAAGAGCCCCACCAGGTAGGCCTCGCTGGCCTCCTGCAGAGCCATGACGGCCGAGCTCTGGAAGCGCAGGTCGGTCTTGAAGTCCTGCGCGATCTCGCGCACCAGGCGCTGGAAGGGCAGCTTGCGGATCAGCAGCTCCGTCGACTTCTGGTAGCGCCGGATCTCGCGCAGCGCCACCGTGCCGGGCCGGT